CACTAATCCTCTTCTCTTACACGTAAAAAAACGCTAAATACGCATTAACATAGTTTTTGTACAAAAATAGAAAGGTGAAGCAAATTTGGTTTAAAACAAACCATATTTAATTAATAAATACTCACCAGCCAATTACCTGCTTTTTATGCATCGTCTTACCAGATCATGCGTTGCATAAAAATTAAAAGTATAAATACGTGCCAGTATTTTTATGCATGATAGAAACAGACCAGGTGCAGCTGAGCGAGAGCACCGATGAGATCCTTCCAATAGAGGAGCTACAAAACCATGGCATAACCATGCCAGACATACTCAAACTTAAACAGTACGGCATATGCACCATCAAGGGTCTGTCAATGGTAACAAAGCGCCATCTTTCCAAAATAAAGGGATTGAGCGAGCTAAAAATAGACAGGCTGAAGGAGGTGGCGGGCAAGGCGGTTCGAATGGACTTTACGACTGCAACTGAATATGCGGCCAAGCGGGAGCAGGTCGTGCGCATCGCAACAGGCAGCAGCGATCTTGACACCCTCTTGAACGGCGGTGTGCAAACGATGAGTGTGACCGAGATATTTGGAGAGTTCCGGACCGGGAAGACGCAGATATGCCTTACACTGTGCATAACCGCACAGTTGCATGAAAATAGCAAGGTGGCCTACATCGACACAGAGGGAACGTTTAGACCCGAAAGGCTCAGAGAAATTGCAACAAGGTTTGACATTGATCAGGAAAGAGCATTACAAAATGTGATATGTGCGCGTGCATACAACTCAGACCATCAGGTTGATCTTTTGAACACGCTCAGTGCACGTTTTAGCGAAGATACCACCTACCGATTGCTTGTAATCGACTCTGTGATTGCACTGTTCCGCACCGATTTCATAGGCCGAGGCGAGCTCGGCGAAAGACAGCAGAAATTGAACATTTTTCTTTCAAGACTGCTGAGAATGGCCGAGGAGTACAACATTGCAGTGCTTATCACCAATCAAATGATGTCCGATCCATCAGCTACGCTTACTTTCGTTGCGGATCCTAAAAAGCCCATCGGTGGGCATGTGCTTGCACATGCATCGACAACGCGTATTTATCTGAGAAAGGGAAAAGGCGAAACAAGGATAGCTAAGATTTATGACTCGCCAGAACTCCCCGAGAATGAGGCAATGTATGCTATTACGGGCGGTGGAATAGACAATGCATGTGACTGAGGAGTACAACGAAATGGAGTGGTGCTGTCCGGGTGTACGAGTTGTGGTCAGAATTGGGAATGAAAAGATGTACGGGCAGGTCAATCAGGAAGATACGTTTAGTGAAAGTTATGTTGGGTAGGGATAGCATGATTCAGGCTTGATTCTGTTGAAGCAACCTAAAACAAGGACAGAAGTATCGAAGTGCATTTGTTTCATGATTTGCCCGCGTGCACTGTTCCGAAAGTGCTACAGCAAGCGTGCTTATCTGCGATAGCCGAAGGGAATAACACAAATTTAAAGAAAATACGAGACACGATGTGCAATACAAACAGTTTAATCACCACGGTAAGATTAATAACGCCAAGAAACACAAACATCATACGATATATGCCAATCATGGTGGCATTCACTCAAACGGTGCGAGTGCCATGCTAAACCAACAAATTACGCTCGCTCATCGAAAAGATAGTTCTATTTAATCTGTCGCAAGGGAACATAGCCGTAATAACCGGTGCTATTTACGTTTTAGACCATGTCAATCAATCCTTAAAGGACTGTTCCTCCCTTTCCTAATCTTCAACGGCTTTCCATTAACCCTCCTTCCATTAAATTTCTCAATAATTTCTACAAATTCGTCACCGTTCATCAGCTCAATAAACCCGTAGCACCGTGATCTGCCCTTTCTTTGCATTATCTTAATGCTGGTGATTGATTTGTAGGGTAACAGCTGCTGTAAATGATCCTTGGTCGTTAGCGGTGAGAGGCTAGAAATGTGGAGGATGTAGACCAACAATGGGGGCTTCAAAATAAAAATAGCTTATGTAGAGGTCGTACGGGAGAGGTACCTTCAACGGGAGTGGATCGTAATGCATGGGAAAATAAAATATTCTGCAGAAAAGCGTGCGGAGGGGTGATGAGAGAGGAGCATCAAGCATGTATCTTAAGCGAGTATGTAATCACAGTGGGGTGTGCAGCTGTGCGTAGTGCAACGAAGTGTTAAGGAGCGATCGTAACGGTTTATTTATACAATGGGGGTAGACACATGCAACAAAGCAATGCATGCGATTAGCAGCCTTGTTGTGCAAGTACCGTTTATTACCTGTCCACGTTACACAATCAGTGCGGTGAGAGCCGCGCTACATCTGGTGTAAGTGTGCTGATGAGAGAAGTACCGTTCAAGAAGTATGAAGTGTTACTTGAGGTATTGTACCATGCTTTATTTGCAAATATACTTTCTTGGCAGTTGTTGAAGTACCGATCGGGCATAAACTGCTCCGTTCCGTAACATACACACGTATTTGTGCAAGATAGAATGTTATGGCTGTTGCGATGCGGGATGAAAAGAAGTGAAGTATTCTGTGGTTTATTATTTATTTACCGTGCTCATCGTAATATAAATAAACAATGAATTTATGTGCTTTTGCACTGTGCACCAGGGGCGTGTTTATTAGCGTATCTGATCCCGTCCATTACCCGTTTATTTTGCCCTCTCCGCATCATAAACGCAAATCAGTCGTGTCATCATAAAAATTTACATTTTTTTATCCCCCAGAAAAGGATGGCAAAGCGCTCACTTAGCATACCCGCCCTGAATAGACTAAAAGCAGAGGAGAAAAATTTGGTGTCTGATGCACCAGAATGCGGTTTCTTGGCCGAGCCGCAGCTACAGTCGGAGGGTCTCAAGGACTACAGCACCTGGGACATTTACATAAACGGATCGGAAGGTTCTCTTTACGAGGGCACCGTCCTGCACGCGGCCATCGAGTTCTCGTCCGATTATCCCATTACACCGCCAAAAATGCGTTTTGTCTCCAAAATGTTCCATCCCAACATCTACTCGGACGGCAAGGTGTGCATCAGCACGTTGCATGTTGCTGATGATGATCCCAGTGCATACGAATCGCCAGATGAGAAATGGACACCTGTGCACGGCATACGCACGATTGTTTTGGGTGTGATTTCCATTCTCAACGAGCCCAACATTGTATCACCTGCCAATGTTGATGCGAGTAAGATGTTTAAAGATGATTATGAGAAGTACTGCAACACGGTGACGGCGTTGGCGAGAAAGGAGAGCTTGAAGAGGGTAGAGAAAAAATAAAAAAATGTGTTTGATATTTGAACGTGCGTGGGTTGTTCTACATGTTTTGGATGTTTATGGAGTTGCTGTGGGAGTTGCACATTTTAGCGTGGGTTGTTCTACGTGTTTTGGATGTTTATGGGGTTGCTGTGGGAGTTGCGCATTTTAGCGTGGGTTGTTCTACGTGTTTTGGATGTTTATGGGGTTGCTGTGTGCTTGAGCGGCATTGTCACGGCCGATCGGCAGTAACTACGAATCGGTCATTGTTCACGGATCAAACACGTAATATGGGCAAGCTACGCGATGAATACGCGTGCAGCACCACGCAAAACGAATCTGCACACAATGCTTCCTTTAATCCTTCTTACCATCCAAATCGCTCAATCTGCACAGCCCCTCAAACAGCTGCATGAAATGGAAGAAGCTCTTAGCAATCAAGAACGTATAGAACAGAACAATTACCTTCCTGTTCACCTTTTTGTACGTATCCAAGTACTTCACAACGTAGTACACCTCCGTTCCCACGCACAGCAATATCAGCACAATCTTCTGGTAGTACACCTTAAGAATGCCCAGGAAAGGCTCCTTGTGCGATACGTTCTCGGCCATCGATGAGGTAAAGAGCAACATATGTGAGAGCAGATCGATGAACAGCAGGAATATCAGGCTCCTTGACCGTTTTCTCTCCAATATCTTGCACACTATGATAGTGGTCGTAAGCCTGTCGGTGAACATATCCAGACATGCGCCCAACTTGCTCGTCTGGTTGAGTGAACGTGCTATCGTGCCATCTATCAGATCGATAGATGATGAAATGGTGTAAACCAGGAGGAACGGATCTTCGTGCAGGTATATGCTTGATATTACGAGGAGCAGGCGGAAATAATTTACGATGTTGGGGACGTAGAAGAGAACCTTGGTGTTCATTTTTGAGGGGCAAGTTGTAAATTGATGAATTTAACGAAGGTTAGGTGAATTGTTTTTATGAGGAGGCAGTAAAACGATGACCTGACGGGGAGTTTAATCCGAGGAGGTACGGAATTAATATTTAGCATTGGTAGAAGGCGATCTAACGAATTGCAGAAATAATGCGCAATTCTTTACTACGGGGCTGGTGAATTGTGTGTAAATTTCTTTCCAAGAAAAAGACGGAATGTTTGATTTAATGGGAAACTTTCAGTGTTCTTGGTTCTGTCCATGGGTTGTGAACCGGTATGCATCGATTTTGATCGCCATAGTTTCGTTCCGCGCCCTTTACCAAAATTGATGAAGTATCGGTGCAAAGCTGTAGAAGGGCCGTTTGTGCCACGGTGAACGGTTTGTTGAATTCAAATTTGTTTATTTTGAGGAATTATGCGGTCACGAGGTGCAACCAAAGTAATGATCGGCTTAATCAAAGTTATCTCTGCTTGTCAGGTTTAAGCAAAGCATTTCTTGCCGCAACAAACATCATCAATTGTTGATACTACGCATTTTACCCTGCAACGATTTCTTTTGGTACTTTCATGCACGTTTCGTGTAAACCGGTTTTACCGGTATTTTTTGACCCTCCAAACGTAGGACCAAAACATGGAAGACCGTTTACCAAAGGAAATCGTGCAGCTGCTCGAAGAGACATACAAGGACAGTATGAGCGCTGAAGAGATTATGGAAAGTATCATGGATACACGAGAATACAATGAATACAAGAAATGAATTGTTCTGCAACAGGTAAATCATTAAAGAATGTTTGCATGCTATGCATCGTATTTATTGTCCTTAGCGTAGTGGTATGGTCCATTTGATGCTGCACAAGCAGTTAATTCCTTAGCGCGAGGTGTTGCTGTGCCCTGGGCGTGCTCCTAAATTAGACGGTCTATTACGATTGGTCACTTTAATCGATCTTTCTGCTCTTGAGAGGTTTAGCGGGTGCACTGCACACAGCAACTTCCTTGGGTGGTACTGTGCCACTATTTCGGTTGAACAGCATTTCTGTTGTTTTACCCGTACGTTTCGTCTGTTGGAGTACCTGTGCATGTTGAAGTGAGCTTGGGCCGTTCTTTGTTGGTTTTGGTGTTTGCCGCTCTCTTCAAAGGTGTGGTACCGGGTGCTACAGTACAGGAAAGGAGTGTGCTGCAGGTATGAAAGTATCTCAACGACTATCTTCCGGTATTTCTCGTCCATCATTTTTACAAAACACGAAGGTTTTAAGTTATCGAATAAAAATAGGAAAGTACCAGCCAGCATGCCACAAGTTAAGCTAAAACCATTAGATGAAGTGATAGAAATGACAGATTTGGCCAACACAGATGCGAGAGACATTATGTATGAACTAAAGAATCAAAGAGAAAAGCTAGAGAGCATAGAAAGTAAGAATAGGATCACGAACGGGTTGCTAAAGACTGCTGATGAGTTGAGCAACAGGATATTTAGGAAGAAAAGAGTTATAGGAATAGCGATGTTGATTATGGTCATATTTTTGGTTAGTATCTACGTTATTTATAGGATGCATGGGATGTGATGTGTTAAATGGTGGGCATTAAAGCCATGGTTGTTGTATGAGCGTTATTTATAGGATGCATGGGATGTGATGTGTTAAATGGTGGGCATTAAAGCCATGGTTGTTGTATGAGCGTTATTTATTTAATTAGAGTAGTAGGTAAATTTGTTATTGTTATTTAGGAAGGATCTTTAAATTAATGTTGATAAGTAGGAATGATTGGTATGTGGCTTAAGAGATGCCGTAGAGATTGTTCATTTGCAAGATTAAATCGTTCTCTCGCCGAATATCGTACGATTGATGGTCCTGATCACGTTGGTAAATGCCTTGTTAAGTAGTTGCTCAATACTTAGCAGTTTTAAATCTAACACTGCAATCAACTCATCGATTAGCATTTGATTGTGTGTTAAAACCATGTTTCTTATTTCCACCAATTCTTTATTCCTGAACTCTGCGTTTACTTCATCGATTTTATTCTTCGTTGAAAACAAAATATTTGTAACTGAAAAAAAAAGAGCTTCGTCGCAATTATCTTGCTCAAAATTGGAGTTTTCTTTGGCAGCATCGTTTTTACAGTCATTTTCTTTATGAGAAGTATGTGGCGTGCTTTCCTGTCTATAACTACCCGTAACTTTGGTGCGTTCTTTGGATAAAACACCTTCAAAAATTCTTCGGCTAATTAAGTTAAAAATACTCGCATTGTTTTGTTGTATTCGTTTCGTTATGTCAGCAACATTGGACAACGAATAATTCTTTGCCAGTAAAACTATTTGTGTTTCAGCTGAATCAAGAATTTTTCTTATATGGTCACAACGCTTCCTTAAATCAGCTTCTAATGTACTTTCAATTCGCTTGTGTTCATTTTCTGCTGCCCTTGTCGCAAGCTTCATCATTTGATTTGCTGCCTCATTAAAAACTTTTTCCATGCTGTCCATCAGCCTTAAATTTTCATCTTCTACGATTCGGTCGGTTTTCTCTACAAGTTCATCGGTTAATTCATGAAAACTATTTTGTCCGCTCATTAATTCGTGTATTTTGTCGTTGAGGATTGTGGTATATTCCTTTGCAATGCCAGCGATAAAATCAACAAATATGCCACGAGTATTCGATAAAAAACCCTTTTGGTTGAAATTGCTCCCTGTGTTGGACTGAACAGCGCTGTAATACATCACATCATGCCAATAACGCCGATCTCTTAAACTTGTTTTGTAACGTTGCATATCGGCCGGGTTGCACTCATCGCAAGAACTTCTCCACATTTTCTTCGTATCGCTTTCTGGGTTATTTCTGTTCATCGTTCCGCCCACATGACTAATTTTGTTTATATCAAAAGCAGGCCTTCTTGCAGTGTCATTTTCGTTGTCATTACACCTGTTCAGCGGCCCATCCACCAAAATATTCCCAGTGTCATTTTCGTTGTTATTACACCTGTTCAGCGGCCCATCCACCAAAATATTCCCAGTGTCCGTTGATGCATTCTCTTGCGTACTTCTACCTTTCCATGTTCTAAATGTTTCTTTAAGTTCATAATTCTTATATGCTCTATCATCCACTTCGTTTGCAGGTTTACAAATTATTACCATGATATGGCAAAAAGCCACGAATACCTCCATCATCTCCAGCATATTTCATGCTTTTATATTTTTTTATACATATGTTCTAGAACCATGTAACAATCTTCTATAAAATAATATAAAAGCATGAATTAAGATAATCCAAATCAGTCTCTAAAACACAGTTGTCATCCATATCAACAATCTTAATGCGAGTGAGTCGATAAGCTACCTATTATGAACAATGTATGCATGCGTAAGCTATTTACATGCCTATTCAAATCCCATGATGATCACAGTTTACACAAATTCTATATTCTACGAAATAGGAATTTATTAGCTCTAATTTAGTACTCTGATCCAATCGTTGCAACAAGCGGATCAAACCATAAACAACAGGTCAGTAAGATCACAGTTCTACACCAGTTATTAAGCAATGTAGAATGTGCACACCTCATTCATTGGTTAATTCAGTGTTTATACCAACCGTTCCTGCCATCAGAACAAGCATTGGATCGCATGTTGCGAATCACCAGAATGGCCTATTACAATGGCAATCAAAGAACTGTTAGAATGCTACGCACAATCTTCTGAATACTAAATATGTGGTAGTCTTGAATAAGGTCTGTTGACTTTTTTCCAAGGCCGTCTGATTATCGCTTCACAACCACGAAGGCTCTGTTAGATGGGTCACATTGCCAACAGTTCAGTACATTCAATAATTTGTGATTGTTTTCGGGCATTGTGGGGATGTGTTTGAACTGAGAGTACTGTTCTATGACCATGCTGTACATGAAAAAGTTATTTAATTATTGAAGTACAAAATGCTGCGTAAAATGCAATGTTGCAACGAGCACATCTAACACAGCTAGAGACTACAGTTTACTCAGGAGTCCCGAACAGGGCTGTATAAGACATCACAAACGTTTGCACAGAAAGAACTTATCTCAGCTAAAACTATGAAAAGGAAAAGAGGCATAAACGGAAAAGGGGAAAGGGAAGTGTAATGAACCATTTTATGGGAATAAACAATGGTAATGCGAATAAGCTAATCATTTTTTAGGCTAAAACCTGATTATGAAATAGCTCGTAAACTGTAAACTTGCGTTTACCTCACCACTTATGTAAAAGCTGATGGCAAAGTGGTTTTTAACACAAGTACAGGAAAATACCGATTTGCATTTAAATTTAAAACGGAAAAATTTTGCTTTATTTCACAAGGAATATTCGTCGATGAGATGAGCCGTTATTATTTATTGACGAGTGTAAAAGGGCATTAGAGCGCTATTCCGAATGATTTGACGGTTACACATTTATAGCTGCTTTGGTTCGCCATGAGAATTCTACGTTGATCTTTAGTTACGTTTGGTGTAACTAACTAGGCAATGTGGGTGAATTGTGATGTAATTGTAGTACGTGACACGAATTTCTGTTCTGTGGACAGACACTTAAACCTTAATCTCAAAGAGTTCTTCCGCTCGGCCTGACGTAAAATAATTTGTGAAAGAATGCGATGTACTGGAGTGAAGCGTACCTTGCTTGAGGAAATTTAGTCGGTCAAAGATGAAGAGCAGATCTCTAAATCGCGCGGTCGCATTGCGCTGTGAGTACAGAGCTGTATCATCGCACATGTCATTAAATGGAGAAAAAAATGCATCCCATAGGAAATGATTGACGTTAAGCTGCTGCGAGACGAGAAGACAAGGAGGGAGGTGTACGAATCAGAAAAAAACAGATTTAAGGATCCAGAAAATGTGATTAGGGCATATGAATTGGATCAACTGAAAATCAAAATGATGTACGAAAAGGAGAAGATCGCGAAGGGAATGAATGAGGCATGCAACGAGATGAAAAAGAGAATGAAAAAGGAAAAGGAGAGCTTAAGGAAGGTAGGAGAAAGCATTGGAGTCGGGATAGAAAAAGTGAACATTAATGAACACAGCAAGGTATGCATGGACGAGCAAAACACAACTGAGGAGACATGCCCGCCATCTAGTGATAGTGAGGCGCTAAAAGAGAGTATTGCGACACTGAAAACAAGAAAGGCTGTATTAGAAGTAAGGATAAAGGAGATGGACGAAGAACTGAGGAAAATCCTGAAGAACATCGGCAATGTTCTACACAAGGACGTTTTTGTGAGCAAGGATGAGGAGCATAACCCTGTGATATCCAAATATGATAGTGGAAATAAAAGGAATGGTAAATTGGCGTACTACGATGTAATGGAGCGGTTGGGATGTGTTGACATGAAAAGGGGCAGCAAAGTGAGTGGGCATAGAGGATACTTCCTTTTTGAGGAGCTAGCGCTTCTCGAAAATGCGTTAGTGCGCTATTCGATCGACTTTCTACGCAGCAAGGGCTACATGCTGGTGCAAACACCTGTCCTTTTGAACAAAGATGTAATGAGCAAAACGGCACAACTGAGTGAATTTGATGAACAGCTATATTCCGCAGATGATCAATACCTTATTGCTACCTCTGAGCAGCCGTTGACGGGTCTTTACATGAATGAGCGCCTCCTTCCCGAGCAGCTGCCCAAAAAACTATGTGGGCAGAGCCTTTGCTTTAGGAAAGAGGCAGGAGCTGCCGGTAAAGACAACAAAGGTATTTTCAGGGTGCATCAGTTTGAGAAAGTCGAGCAGTTCGTGGTTTGTGCACCCGGTGAGAGCGAGGAAGTGCACCAGTCAATGCTTGCGATAAGTGAGCAGTTTTATCAGTCGCTTGGCCTAGATTACCGGGTGGTGTCCATTGTTTCGGGCGAAATGAACGATAGTGCGTGTCTTAAATACGATTTGGAGGCGTACTTTCCCCACTCCAAAAGGTACAGGGAATTGGTGTCCTGTTCGAATTGTACGGATTACCAAGCGCGAGACCTCGAGGTTAGGTACGGCATCACCAAGGAGAATGACAAGAAATTATACTGTCACATGCTTAATGCCACGTTATGTGCTGTGCAGCGAACATTGTGCTGTTTAGTGGAGAACTACCAGGACGAGGAGGGCATTAAAGTGCCTGATGTCTTGGTGAAGTATTACGGCGGTGAAGCAATCAAGTACGTTAATTAAAAGTTTGAGCTCTGAGACTGTTATTGAGCTGTTTTTGGCGCTAAGAACAGTGCTGAACATGTCATAGCACCAGCCACCAGGCTAGAATACGTCTGATGTTCGAACAGAATTCCATTAAATAACAACCAATTAAGCTTTAATATTCTTTTCGCTGCCTGCAGAAACATTTAAATCGTATAACACGCTCATTTTTTACGTTGAATTGTGATTTCAGCATGTTCTGTATGGGAAAAGTACGATGTTGGTGTTTTTGGTGCTGTTCGATGGAACCAAATTATTGAGGAATAGGAAATTATTGAGGAATAGGAAATTATTGAGGAATAGGAAATTATTGAAGGATAGGAAATTATTGAGGAATAGGAAATTATTGAAGGATAGGAAATTTTGCAAAACACCAATTTTGTAAGTGGAGTATTTGAATTTTTCATTTGTGCTCGTAGAACAGGAACGAAACGGCCATTCCATCCAACGAATTCGTTAGGTGTACCGTAGCTGGCAGTGCACGTTTAATTCGTGGATGCTCTGCAGAGTTGTTCACAGCTTATGACAGGGAGAAGGCAAGACGTGGAAATGCTGTGAGGTAGAATTCGTTGAAGGGCGCTTTGGAGGAAAAAGCAATGCAAATCATTTATTTAGCACGTGAGCGGTGTGCACCTCGTAGAAATAGCACTGATAAATAAATTGATTACCTGTTCCGGTAACACGAGCTAAAAACGAGAAAGAATAACACGGCTTTAACCACCGAACAGCACGTATAGCAATATCTTAAGCACGACCAAGACGATACATCCGCTTACGCCCAGGACCATCCATCGGATAATTAGGTCTATGAATTCGTTCCTGCTCATTGCCATTCTGTAATAACCGGTTCGCCTGTGCTCGGCAGGCCCGCTGTTTATCCTATCGATTTGTTTTAACTTTTCTCTCTGCTCAACAACCAAAAGCATGCTCTTGTAGTTGCTGAGCATTCGGTTGCTCGGCGGGCCTGTGTGCTTCTTGGCGGGGAGTGCAAGCAGCGCTTGGAAGAACAGCAGCATGGGGACCGCACACGGCACGGATGAAAAACGGAAGGTGTCAACCAAGTTTTGAGAGGTTGACCGGTGATGACCTGTTAGATTGTGGCAGATCATCACTTGGCACGCACACGGAGCACCTGCCATTACGCGGAAATAAATGCATGGGATCGTAGGCCGTGGGGATGGCAAGGCAGGCGTTGAAAAGAATGGAAAATGCGCTTAGCAAGATTTTTGCCTGTTTAGGACAAAATTAGATTTGATAGGTGCACCAAAACATAGAAATGTATTTTTAGAGCTGAGAACGGTGCATTTGCGGATGAAAACGCAAAAAAATGGTGTAGCGATTTAGGAAAGGACACACACCGGAAAAGTAGATTTGATTTGTTTTAGAGTGCAGTTGCAGGCTGTCCATGACCTCAGCACATGTTCATGGAATGTGTTGCTGGCACGGGCAGTGTGCACACCAACCGGTAGCACGGGATGTGCCGGTCGGTGGTTTTCTTTCTTTTTAACTTGGTCGGTGATTCTCACCAAAAAATGGAAGTGACAGGTCGTGCAGTGCAAGCACGAAGGGAACATCCGATGAGCTGAAAGCGTGTAGGCAGGATGAATGGATGGTTTGGTGCTACGGAACGTGTCAGGTTCGTGGATGAGATGCGCTTAAATTAAATTTGTTTGGCATGCCTCCGTAGTTGATCGGACGTGTTGACAGTGATCCGGTGGGAATGACGTATTTGGAAGGTTTACGGGCAGCTGGTGCACGGGGCGGATGTGCTGCCATTCGCTTGGAACGGATGGACAGCGCATCGATGAAACATTGCCGAGATGCGAGTTGCACAGCGCGGGTCTCGGCGTGTGATGTTAGTTCGGTGATGCCGCACTCAAGCAGGACATAACAGCCGGCAGGACAGACACTGCCAAAACGGCACCGTGCCACACCAACGGGTGCTTGGGGAGTGAACGCCTTAAAATCAGACGACTGCAGGGATCGGGTGCTGAGCAATTTGTTGGTTGCCTTTGCTCGCAGCGCAACTCAAAATACGTTTTCACATGTCACGCATTGCCTCTCTCCTCACGGGAGATGATTCCTCAGCACCACCTTTCTTTATTTGTGCGATCACAGCGCACTTTTTCCTGTAAAGGAAAAACAGAGGATGAGTTCGTGATGACGAGCACGGTGCAAAACAGCAATCAACCTAGCACCGCCATATTTTCGTTATTTCGCATGTTATCTGCAGGATGGGCAGGCTGCGATCCAAGGCACCATTTTCACCGCAAAGCCAATTTTATTATTTTTCTTCTGCCCCCTCTGTTCGTTTGCACAGCGGGAAGAAATGACGAATAACAACACGGATCGAAAGAGCACAGGGACAGGAGAGACATGCGACGAAGGAACGGGGCTGACCACCGAACTTGCAGGGCACCAGGCCACCGCCTCATACATCATAAGAGACAGGAACCTGAAAATACGTACAAGAACGTGCAAGAGAAACAAACACCTTCTGGTGCGTATAAACAAACGGACAGAGGATGCACTGACGGTGACGAAGCGCATTGTGGAACGGAATGAGTATGACACGGTGTATGTGGTGATGAAGTACGGGCGCATCAGGCGGATGGACAGGAGTGCGCTTCGAATGGTGTATGACATGATGGGGTACGAGGTGTACGTGGGGTACGTGCCCAGAAGGATTATTAGGGAGAACGAGTACGTGTGCCTGTACAGAATGGAAAGGATAAGGAGCGTGTGACTGGGAAGAGTGGGGGTGCAAGATGGGAGTAGATTCAGAAATAGACTGTCAGAGCGGGAGTGAGGAACAAATAGAGAAGGTGCATGGAGGGGAAGAGAGATGGACCAGCTGGTTGAGGGATCGATCTGATGCCATAGGACGAATGCAAGGGAACGTACGTGTGCAATTCTGGTTAGAGCGGACAGAACGTGGAATTAAAGGCAGATGCGTACAAAAAATGTTCTAAAGGCGATGAGTGATTTATTGGTGGCTGCAGGACAGGGTAGAGGACCTGCGATGTGCAGATTTGTATTCAACGGCTGGGCCCAGCAACCAAGGATTTTATCGTGCTTGGCAAAGATTCGTTCACAGATAGAACGTGCAAAATCAGAGAACGACTTCCCGATTACTGCACCATGTGATGGCCATTCTCAATCTTTTTAGGAGGTGTGCTCGTGGTGAGCAGAGTTGCTGCATTTTTTATTTGTGCTGGCACTTCGTGCAACCGAGCGTTGCATGATTGAGGGCGTGTTGTAGTAAAAGCTGTCAAAATTTTTAGAGGAAGTGCAGGTGACAGGAAAGGAAGGTCCTCAACAGCAAATCAAAGAAGTTACCCGCTATTTTCATCGTGTACAGGTGTACGCATATATAAGCGATTTAACGAGGCATATACGGATTTATAAGGTGCTCATATCAATGGTGAATTGCTGTTAATAGATGTCTTAAATAACATTATTTAGATATCTTGTCAAATATTTTTCTTGGCCTGCTCCAGCCGTAGCTTTTAGCCGTTGATCCAAATGTTTTTTTACATTTTCCGCATACAGCCTTGTGTTAGGGTTGTACTCAACCAGCGTGGTCTTGCTGAGGGAATGCTGGCGCTAATAATTGCTGTCTTCCTTGTTCAGGGCTCGTTTTTAACGGATCCAAGGTTTAGCTCCCATAGTATACGCTGCCGTTTAAAACCTATCGCAATGAATTTGTACTTCTTATCTCTGGTTGCCTGCTCTGACTCTACACATAACGCAAAGAGGCTATGTAATTTACACCAAACGTACTTTAACTAAACTCGCTCAACACCATGTGCACAACATTTACAGGCCACATGGGGCCTTGAATCTGCTATTACCGTTCGTCTCTGCGCATTGTGACCCATGTTCACCTACGTTTACTGGGCATGTATAAATCATTCCTCCCCTTACATGGAAGAATTAACGACATAAACACCAAAAATGGCACGTGTTAGTCCGCCCACCTGACCATTCGAGTTGTTACGTCCGAGTGGTACGATCTTGCCTGCAGCAATTATTGCCATTGCAAGATGATCTTCCGCTTAGTGCCGACATGAAAGTGGCATTTCATAAATAGTAAAATGTTTTTTACTCATCTAAAGCTTAGCTGCTTTGTCACGTTACGGTTTAGCATTTGCCAGTGATCACGTCGTGTAGCCATGAGGTGTGCCATTTGGTACCTTAAACGTATTAAAGTATTTTATGAATCGATCTACTGCCTGTAACCATGTCCTAGCCTGTATTTAGGTGTTGTTGTACAAACAAATTTAACGCTATGTGTGGGGTAACCAACGAACCGCTTTTGATGAAAAGCACACGCAATCAAAAATCTTCAAATCTGAGAAATTTATGCTATGTTCTGTTCCGCTAACGTGTGTACTCTGTTTATCTGAGATGTTAGCTGTAAATCGCCGTGCACACTGCTACTCCACTCATCACCATTACACTCACCCCACTTCGGACAGCCCTTCGATCAAATGCTAGCATTCACGAAGAACAAAAAAATTACGCTTTCATACGCCATCCTGACCATAGGCATGTCAGATATGCAGCGCGCTATAAATTCGAAGGTAAAAACGATAGTGTACTGCGGCATTTCGCTGTACGTTGTGGATGAACATTTCAAAGTCGTAGTGCATGATGACATTTATTTTTGTTCTTGTGGAAAGTCCGTATGTTGGCACATTTACAGTGTGATTTGGGGAGATTGGGTGGAGTGGGACAGCAATGGCGACAAGTACTTCAATATTTAGATGGGATGTTGACACCAGTCCATTTCTGCAGAAAATACCTGGTAGTTGTGCGTGTAATACCACGTATGATAACGAGTTACCATCTTTACAGTGAAATAAGGCACCGAGCTTTCTAAAACACGATATAACGATGTATAACAGGATATTCTACCAGATTACACTCTGATATGGCATGCAGAATTGCCATTTGAATCGGTTTATGGAGTTTGTCATTTATAACGTAATTTTGAGATTATATGGAGGTTCAAATACAATTGATTTAAAAGGAAATACCACGAACAACACATAGCTCATAATTTTAATCAGGAATGAGCATCAATACCACAGATCATCTGGTTTAAGATTTTGGTGGATGAGCCCATCATGGTTACCGTTTGCTTTTGATTGATGCCCTGGCTTAAATTTGGTTGTTTCTGTCAGCTTGATTTCTAGAATCATGACAAAATGAATTGACACTTGGTGTAAATAGCAGAGATCGCACCATTTCCTCTGACGAGTCGCTAATCACTTCCATTAATCGCATTTTTACTGTTTTGTCCTGCTTTAAAAGAATATCTCATTTGGTGTCGACATGAAGTGATGATAATACCAGTGTTTGTTTGTGATTAGCGGAATATTTTATTCCGCTTTAGACAGTAGCAGAATAATTTTTTCATATCCTTCAGCAAAAGTCTGGTGGTGATAAAGAGATGGAAAGCTGTACTGAAACAAGTTGCATACGCCTGTTATTTTTATTAATAGGTGTGGCACTGCTATCTCAATCCATCTAAATTATTCTTCCTGCAGAAAACTACACATTACACCAATTTTTTCATTTTTTTCACTATTTATCAATAGATATAACAGCTATCCGATCATTGTGGGAAAATATAAAAATAAAGGCAAAACCTTGTCTGACTTGATGCGCTAGTATCATTCCTCAAGACCATTTTACCAGTAAATGCTATCAACAGCTATATAGTTCTGACAAATGTTTTTTTGTCGGTTACACGCTCAGATTACGATTCTAACACCCAGCACAACTATCGATTTTTATGCGATTAACAATGCCATAATTCACAGAATTACTCACATCAATCGAATATCTGCACGTTTAAAGTACGTATCTTTGCACATATGGCCATTGTTTTTGCAACAGACTGTTCATTTGTCTTTGCACATGCAACATCACCCAAACAAAAAATAGTTGTTGCCAAGAATAGTTTACGATGCCTACAAATAACAAGTACCATAATATATCAATCCTCACATACCGTAGTGACTCGCAATTTATGAGACTGCTTTATCACAGCGACATGGATGGTGGTTCCGCGATGAAAACCAAGTCTGATCAAAATGCTGCCATTGAAGGCATAATATGGCTTGCAGGAAGTTGTTTTAGTATTCTATTTCAGATATCTCTCATCTTGACGAATGATTTGACAGTTAGCCTCCTTTTTTCTCATGGATGGACAAGTTCTTGTCCCATATCACCATATCTGCTTTAGATATTGAAAACGTGATGTTCATGCACAATTCTCACTTTCTTTCTTTCGAAAGTTAAAATTTTTTTACCATTAAACATTATACAAAAGTTCTGAAAGGCAAATGAAGCACTAATATAAAAATTTCGATTGGAGACATTATGATCCTCTAGAATGAAGTTGCTATTTTCCGCAATAGTTTTTTGTAAAATTGTTCGTAGAAAATTCGAATCGAACACCAGGATCAACATAGTATTCTGTATCTTGGTGTTATCACATAAACACCCCAAATGCTATCGAGTTATCAAAAATAGTAATAGACGGGCCAACGTATTGGGATAATGAGATATTTGGGAATAATAACCAATTAGTTGCTTGAATCTTACGATTTATTTTTTAGCAAGAATGTATGTGCTGATCAAAGAAGTAGTTCCATGATCAGCACCAAGAAGGTGATGTTAGTGTGTGGAAACTACATAAACACACTTATAATCAAAAAACATCAAAGAGATTATTTTTGCGCGACATCAGCCAGAGAAAGACAACTATTAAATACAGTAATGGAGAGTAGAGGCAATCATTGACAAAATTGACCCTCAATCATTAAACACAGATCGTTCGACAGTACCTTATTGACACATAATCATATTTTAAGGAAGGAATTCAGTAGCAAAGTTGATAATTTTGCCGTTTGACGAAGATGGATGTTTATAGGACGGTGGTTTTATAAGCGAAACAGAAAGATGTGTTTGTCTGTTTTAAAGCAGGCGGTGATGTTGATGTTCGGACACTGAGCATTTTACCGGTGAGGAAATATGAAAATAGTTATAAACGATAAATCACCGGGTTTCACATGTGGAAAGCAGTGCATACACTGTTTAGCAGACATCACTGCAGGATCATTATTTTTTCATTTTCCATGTGTGATTCTGAGTGACATTACTCATCAGATAAATATTGTGACAGTTTGCGATGAAGAATAATTTGATAACAGGAGGAATTTTTGTGTGACTGGTCAATCTTGTAATAATTTGCATTGAGTTTATATCACAAGAGTGGGGTGATGCTGCACAGAAGGTCATGTTTCCATATGTACCACAGAAAATATTTTATGCCGTCAATGTCGATGGAGTGGACCGGATGCCGACAACGGATTGAAAAATCAATGTTTTGCTGGTGCGGATTGCTTTAATGAAAAACACAAAGTTGTAAATTACACAGCACTTACTGATAATATGAAAACATCACATGTAGCGGCGATCTAAGATCGCGAGGTTAGCCCTTTTTACGAGAACAGAGCAACATATCAAAACAGCGTATGCACTTCCAGAAGAAAATATCGGTAAGAAAAAAATTTGAGTGAAAGATTTGGTTAAATTAAGTAACGATTTTACACCGATTCATGAATGACAAAACGCTAGCTTTGGGCTAAGCAATTCCTTTGATCCCTTTTGCATTAAATGATCACCCCAGGTCCATTGGTTGGTACATCATTCGACGAATTATTTTTTGTACACTTCGTAAATAGAATATTCTTAAAAGAGAAGGTATGCAACTCGGGTGTAGGGGATGATCGGTCAGATTCATAATGTAAGTCGAGCACGCTCTTCATTTTATGCCGACCGGATATTTCAATCCTGCTAGCATGGCCAATAGGATTCTATGAAATAAATCTGTCATAGCGAATTGTCTATTATATGGATGAGCTCCCAAGCATCAATATTTATGGTATAATACTTTACCTTTCCCATGTTTACACGGTGTCTATGCTTCCTCATAATGAAATATCTACGGTAACAAAATTTTTACGAGCATAATATCAAGGCGCAAACAAATTAAATAGTGACATAGCAGTTTGAAGTGTTATCAATCCGATTAATGAAAACTAATAAGTTTATTGAGCATGTGTGCTGTTGGTCACTGGTAATAACGTCTTCTCAAGAATAACATCGTGTGCGAAGAATTTTTTTGTGCCACGAAAAAAATGAATTTGCACCAAAGACCTCGCCATTCCAAAGATTTATCTATTCCAGCATTTTTTCACGATCTTGCTGTTCAATTTTATTATAACCAACCGAATAGCTGCGAGCAAATCGCATGAACCAATCGGATGTAATCCTCAAGACAAAACAATGATTTGCACCAAACAATCGCTAAGTTAATCCTTTATTCATTTTTATTGCCATTTAAATCACACGATTTTCATTCGCTCTTCGTGAAAATACAAAAATAGCAACTTCCATTTCTACGAACATCCCATCCAATCATATTAAAAATCCCTTCACTTCCTTAAACAGAAGTACCAAAACTATATAAAGCGATGATGAATCAAACCGTCATGCAGACATCTAGCTTTTGTTTCTATACGATGTTGGTTTTGTTTGCCTGGACGGGTATCATCACCACCACAACACCCCGAAACACAGACATACTAGCTGGGGGACTAGCTGGTTTACGGGATCGAGTAAATGGGTTGAATCAGGATAGCAAGAAGATGGTGGCACGTGCGATGTTTACATCTATCCCCCTAAATATAGATGGCCAATACTTAGTTAAGCTGTCCGAAATTACGACAGGTATTGAGGTTTTATATAGTAATGCAAACAACAACCATCACGGATTTGAAGCTAATAGCGAGGGAACAATGGGAGATTTGTTGCAGAGAGGTGTGAATGCCTTTAAGAGTGGAACTCCGGCTGATAAAAGTGCGTTCACCGAAATAGTGAAAGAAGTTTGTGACGGATATCACGGATTAGTAAAAAAGTTTGTCAATTCATGCCAATCGACAGACGAGCACGGAGTAGTGCTGAAACAAGTGAGTAATGAAACACTAGATATCGTTAATGAAAGCTTGATACATTTAGTAGGAAACGATGATGCTATATTGAATGCATTCGTAGACGCATACAATGAGATAACAATCAAATTAAACAAAATGATCGATGCTCCGGAAGACAAATCAATTGCTGGTATGGTTGAACAATTTAAAACACTAATTGAGAAGGTAAAGCCACATATGGTATTTTTCAACAGTTTGCAATATGCGATCTGTGAAAATAAGGACGTGAAAGCGCATGAAAAAGCCGTTGATGATTACGAAGCTATGTTAAGTAAGCTGATAAGTAATCTAAAAAAACATATTACCAAACAAAAAGTGGAGTACAAAAACTACGTTGCAACAGCTAAGATAATTGTTAAGTTTCTTGACGACATGCGCATGAGTATCAAAATCGTAGTTCAGAATCGTGATATATTGGCAATCAGATATGCTGAAATTGCAAGGGTTTACTCCGATACAAAGATGATAGCGGATATCACTGAGGAGGCGAAGAATAAGACGGGGGATAACAAACAAGACTATGACAACATGAATGGAGATGCAAAGAGCAAAGTGAACTTGCGTTTCTATATTTCTCCACAGAAGAGTGCATCGGGCAGCGCATCTGGTTCCTCGGGCCCGTCAGGAAAGCCTCCAGCAGGAGTAACGCCTCCGGCTCCAAATGCGAAGGGTAGTAAGTCAGACGATAAAACACAGAAGAATACTAGCACGACTGATAAGGACGATTCTAAGCCGTGGTATAGAAAGACATGGCCATGGGTTGTTGGTATCGGAGTTGTTGTATTGGCAGCCGGATTCGGTCTACTTGCAGTGGTATTATTTCGCAAGAAATAAATAAGTCTTTTGACATTCGTTTTTGTGTTTTTTAGTATTTACAAAGCAGTTTATTTTCCTTTTAGTATGACAACATCTGGATGCTGGCATATTTCGGTCTACAGTAACCGAGCATGATATGTTTTGGTAAAACTGTCTGCTGGTAGAGTTTCTTAATATTGCAATGTTTGACATCCAATGGTTGTATCAATTTGATGCTTAATCAAGCACATCAAATTCATATTTTTAATTTACGGATGTGTTGAATGCCCAACAGCATCCCTTAGCAGATATTGAGTTGATGAACAGCCTCTTTAAGCTTATGTATGATAGGTATAAGCTTTTTTTGTACGCATTGGTGAAAAAATTTTCAGAACAACATTCCGCGCCAAATACTACCGTAAATGACGAAAAGCTGATCTTCAAAGAGGTCAATACGATGACGTTGGGCTTAAATATTTTGTTAATTTATTGAATCTTTTCTAGCTTCTCATAGTCCTGTACAAACACCCTCGTAAATTTAGCTAAACTGGCAAAACATCTCCATCATCGTCCATGTACGATACTATGGGAATTATACGGGGATGCCTGTGCGTTGATACAGTTTAATGTCTTCATCAACGATCTATTCGACTGTCGTGAACTATACTTATCTGTAAATTTCAGGAAGAAGAATTCTTTAAAGTGCTCCTGAAGGGAATTCATACATGTTACAACTTGCGTACCAGACTCACTGTCGCGGTTGCAACATATCTTTCTCTTGTGGTGATGGTGTGCACGAAGGTATTGTGCGAGATGGCGCACCAACCTCCTTGCGAACTAAAGGCTAGTAGCCACGGTCGATCTCAGTGAACCAGAAAAGTAAGTCATGACATGAGAATATAAGTAAATGATTTTAAACAGGAAACATTATCTCATAGTTTTGATGCATACTCCGTATTAGGTTATGCAGCTTATGGTAGCTGTAAAACAAAAGCACTTACAACAAATCTAAAATATTCATCAGCTTTAAATAGACGATATAATTAAATTCTTTATAATATATACGTGCTGTATCTAAGGATAAGGCTACTTTGTATCTGGATTTAAATACAAAAAGATTGTACATTGTAATCAGACAAGTGCTGATAAAAAGTTTGTCGTAGTTTACATATAAGTAGTTGATACAAATAGACAGGATCTGTCAAAGATATTAATAAATATTTTTCCATATTTTTATTCTAAAAGTATAAATACGCGATTCTATACATTTAACACTATATGACAGACATATCAAACAATGGTACAACGCTTTTTAGCTATAATATATCTGTACCGGTTCATGGCAATATGAATGAAATGGTATTCCACAAATCAGAACCCGGATCGGATAATTATAATGGAACCGCTCGATCAGTCGGAGTATCGCCAAATGCTGAATTAGGTGCAGTTACCTCTGTCGATGAGTTGATTCATGGCTATAATGGCAGTACTGCAGCGATGTATAAGGCTATGAACGATACCATCGAATCAACCATTTCAGATCACAGCAATATGTACAAGGCAAGCCATTCCTCGTTTAATAATGTAAGAAATATATCAAATAGTACTGTTGCTGATTCAGGTGCTACCAGCTCATCTATGTATGACATTGGCATGACATTTCTTGCTATTAGTGGATTTATCCTTTTTGGACTTCTTGTGATTTTGTGTCACTGGTATAACAAGCGATGGAGAGAACAAGAGTATTGCCTCAATAATTCTCAGGTTGGAAAAATAGGCCATGGTGAGGCGCATTCAATTAGGATTGATAATGATCACTTTACACTTGAAAATAAGAAAGAAAAAATGAATGACAGTTTATCCACTGATCGACCGGTCAGTCGACATACCTCCATGTGAAAGTAGGTCCTGTACTGCTACTTTATGATTTAGTGACTTGGTAAAGATAAGTAAAACGTAGCTTTAAATGAAATATTTGAACTAATATCTGATTTGCTGATAGGACACTGGAGTGAAGTGGTTATGCGTGATACTATTTTTATTTACACTTGCTTTTGTCTTTTGTTCTTGCTCATTTAATCTATCTGCTATTGCCAAAACAATGAGTTAGAGAGGACAAAATATTTTTGGAGTTAATATAATTGTTTTTCGACAGATGAAGCTTTTTTCTGTTATTATAGTTTCGCTGCACTATCACGTTTTTCAAAAACGGGTGTATGAATGGATAGTATACCAAAATAGCGCTTTTGAATGTAACTAAAACATCAGATCATTCCTTTCTACCAACTGTTCTGTGGTTACAAATCAATAAATTTACTTTCATTGCAGTAGTTCATTGTATACAACATTTCTAGTGTATATTTTACCATTCTCATGCTTTCCTTGGTCTCCATTGTCAGCAACATACACCCCTAGACCGTTTGCATAGCGCACTCTCGACAGAGCTACATACAACTGACCATGTACAAAGACAGAGCCGTGCAGATAAACACCTACTTT